AATAATTTTGAACACAACTGTATGTTTGCTCCCAACCAACTGAAAATCAGAGGCATATTGCCTCTTAGGATGAATATGATGCCCTCTAATCATTATGGCTAATAGCCCTTAATATCTTATTTAACAACAAAAACTTCTTCTGTGACCTGGAATCAACTTAGGGAAGATGGCTACTGTCCTCAAAGGCTTATTCTAATTTTATTTTTCAATTGTTAGATCAGAATTCTGCTTTTTAAAAAAGAAGAAAACAGGGTATTCATTAGTAATTGCACAAGCAGTACCAGACCTGTTTCCTTCTTATTTTCTTCTAATCTGTCTTGCTTTTTTTCTTGTGAAAGCCTAACATAGATTAAAGCAGAGCAGATTTGATTTAAATCAAATCAGTTGACATCACAATTTAATTTTTAAAATTTGATATTTTTGACAATTAAAGAATTGATTTTCTTAGATTTAAATCGATTTTTTAAAAATTATTGATTTTTATCCACCCTGTATTAAAGCTTCTTATGGGAATACTGCAGTATTCATTCTGATTTCCTGTTTTCTGGTTCTGTAAGATCCATTGTTAAGTGCCATCAAATACATTCTAACATTCTCATAGCTGCTCTGAGTAGACATTGGCTAGAAGGGCGGGATATAAATCTAATAAAGAAATAAAATAAAATAAATAGAACCCTATGAATGAAGGACTTTTAAAAAGTTCTAGGAATAACAGCTCTGCTCAGGTTTTGCAAATGAAATTCAATGGCTTTCTTTGCATCTCACGTTGAACATTCCTTTTTTCCTGCTGTCTTCAGTTTTTCCTAGAATTTAATATCTGTATACATATTGTTCCTAGCTTTAATTATTGCCTTTTAATGATGTAAGATGCCTCTTTATACTCATTGTTCTTTGCTTTAAATATTGTCTTTTAACTTTAAATATTGTCTTTCAATATTGTAAGCTGTCTTGGATCCTTTTCAAGGAGAAAGATGGGCTAAAATATTTTAAATAAATAAATAAAATTATTATATTTTCTAGTACCTTTTGTCTTCTCATGCTGTTTTGGAAATCATCATCATCATCATCATCATCATACGCCATTTAATCAATTCTGACTTATGCCAGCGTTTTTCAGGGTTTACTAGGCAGAGTACTTAGAAGTGGTTTAGTATTCCATTCTTTTGGTGGCATCCTGGGACTGTGCAGTTTCTCCAAGCCCACGAAGGCTGGCTCTTCCGAGAAGTACAGTGGGGAACTGAACTGCTAATCTCTGACTCCACAGCCAGATACCTAATTCACTGAGTTTACAAGCCAACTCGTACAGCAACAGAGTTACTACTGAATTTGAGCAGCAGTATCTTTTTGTTGGAGCAGCTCTCTCCAGTGCTTTAAAGTTTGAGGATGGAAGACATTAGGTGGTAGATACAAAGTTCTGACAGCAATGGAGATTTTTTCCTGGGCAGTTAACTGTGAGTGGCAGCAACTATTTTTAACATCACCCTTTTGTTGGTGACAGTGAGAAACCCTCCCTTTCTTTGCAGTCTGTTAACACCAACTGCTCTGTGGTAGCTAGGCAGCTCCTCCCTTTATAGTGCCATTTAATGAAGTTTGTGTGAGGAAAAGGCTGCATTTATTTATGACATACCTTGAGATCCTTGAGTATAATGAAAATCATGATGCCTAATCAGTAAACCATCATTCTAAATGAAAAATATTGTTTCATGTGAGTTACTATGCTCAAAACACACAACTCCAATGTGATGGTATATGCAGGTTTTTAGAGCACTCTGCAGATGGTAGTGAGTGGTGTTCTCTCTAAGCTGCATGGGTGTGTGGGCACAGCCAGTGTTGCTACCCATTTGGTTCTGGTCATGGCCAGAAGCCTGTGTGTGTGGGACGGGCCCCCATCCTAGCACTGGCAGAAAATTAGAAGGAATGTTGATAGTGTGAGGCACTGAAATCATTGTTTGATTTTTGATGTAAGTAGCTTGCTTTGAGTAGTACTTCAGTTAGTGTATTTCGTTGTATCTTATTGAACTGTTCTGTTAGTACTTTATAAAAAAGAGTCAACCATGAATATGAGCCTGAAATAGAGATAAATCAACAGACATCCAACAGGGCTTGGCGCTCTTGTGTACCCAGTGCACTGCAGTAGACTAGCCCTCAGGAAAGCCAGGTTCAAATCCCTGATGTTTATTATTTGTTATGAGCCCCAGAGAGCAGAACTAATGTAGAAAAACTGATATAAGCCACTTTGTAGTACTAGGGCACAGCACTATATAAATCAAATAAATCAACAGTAAGACTGTACCCTAGTATTATAACAATTAAGCCACCTAACCAGCCTTGGTTGGTTGGTAAGTAAGTATTTTTACATTTTTATCCCACACATCTAGTAACAGAACACTGCTCTGTAGGGCTAACATCAATAAAGAGAATAAAAATAATAACCCACCCACAACATAAACCCATAGTTTATAAAAACAAAAAAATCTAAAGCATTAGCAAACAAACACATGGGTCTATGAGAATATCAAAAGAGTGAGGTTGTAAGCCGCCTAGAGTGGTCCTAACCGACTAGATAGGTGGGATATAAATTGAATAGATGGATGGATGGATGGATGGATGTTACCAAAGACCTTTTAGAAAAGCTCCTCTTTCACATATTTCCTGAAGGTTGGAAGGGAGAAAACTTGGCATACATCAACAGGCAATGTGTTCCATAGCACTGCGGCCATTACAGAGAAAGCCCGGTTCCTGTTAATAGTTTTACAGGCCTCTCTCTAGGCTTGACCATTCACAGCTGCGAAGCCTGGCTACAGCAGGTGGCCTTTGCCTTTGTCATTAACATTGGGAGAAAAGAAGCTGGGCATTGAATTGGTGCCTGCTTACCTACCACTGATCCCAACTATGGCTTATTTACCTGTAATATTCTCTTAAGTACTGTACAGCACTTTGCATACCAGTTGTTATAGACAGGGGGTTCCGAACCTTGGGTAACCCAGGTGTTCTTGGACTGCAACTCCCAGAAGCCTTCACCACTAGCTGTGCTGGCTGAGGTTTTTGGTAGTTGCAGCTGAAGAACACTTGGGTTGCCCAAGATTGGAAACCACTGCGGTCATCAGTATTAACCTAATAAGAAACACAATTACATACCCAGATTGCAAGAGCTATTGTAATAACATGACATTCACCTGCATACTCCTTTTTATTCACTACCTTATATATATAACTGCACATGCTGTTGTTCTTTGCTTTACCTTAGTCAGTCTTATTCCTGTCTTGAAAAAAAATGAAACCAGAGTGGAAACATTTCAATTTAATGGGAGGTTCTGTCACTGGACTCACACCTAAGCTGCTGCTGAGAATTAATTAATCAATTGAGTCTACCTCTTGGCCTTTATAAGGGCAACAAGTGGGTGTCTCATTACATAAAGTGATAGTACTTCGTAGGATGGGAGCTGTGTGATTGTTTCAGTATTTATATTGCTATGTTCCCGCATATGCAGTTTAAGCCCTTTTTAGAACAGGTGGATATATCTGCATCTTAGTGGGTATCAGAGATATTTTAGAATTGTATCTGTAAACAGGATTATTTTCTCTTCTACTTGTAAAACTGTCCCTTATACCCAAATGTATGAGAGACTACTTGTGTGACAAAACAGAATATAAAAATGTGTGACATAGCTTGGCATTGAGAAACATTTGCAACAGTAGATTAATTTCTGAGGTATTCAACTAACCATTTTTCTGCTATCTGCCATGGCAGACACCAGTTAACAGAGCTGATATCCTCTTTGAGGGAAAGGCCAGCCAATAGTATGTGTAGTAGTACCTTTCTCTTTGGCAATCATGACCAGCTAGTGAAGCTTTATATACCAGGACAGCTTATTACTGATATCCACACACTGTCTTGTTTTCAGAAGAAAAGCCTGACTGCTCCAAGGCCCGTTGTGAAGTACAGTTTTCTCCTCGCTGTCCAGAAGATTCTGTTTTGATTGAAGGGTATGCTCCACCTGGTGAATGCTGCCCTCTACCTAGCCGCTGCGTGTGCAACCCTGCAGGGTGTTTGAGGAAAGTTTGCCAACCAGGCTATTTGAATATCTTGGTTTCTAAAGCATCAGGCAAGCCAGGGGAATGCTGTGACTTCTATGAATGTAAACCAGGTAATGTGTACCCCCCTCAATTTTTAAAATGTGTATGTATAAATCTAAAACTGAAATTTCAGTATGGGCACCTTTGTGTGCCTGACTGCTCTTACTACTTTAGCTGTATCAGAGAAAATGGCCCCCAGTGTGCACCTGCTGTATGGCTTATCAGGATTTCCTTAAAATCTTGCAATAGTTGCCGTCATTCTCCCTGCACTTTTCAGAGAGGAGAACATTCCAGTCAAAGCAGGAAGAGACCTTGCACAGCTTTACTTCACAGCCTTGATTACCATAACCCATCATGTTAACCAACAACCCCAGTTAACATAATAGTTTGAGAATCCAGTATATGTTCTTTCAGGCCAGTGGCACTCAAGAGAAAGTGATCATTTGGAAAACACTGCATGACAGAAGTTTTGAATAAATAGATCATAACTGTATTGTGACCTTGTGAACTGAGCCCAGCTGCCTGATTAAAAAAAACCTGTCACATTTGCTTGCAGTCTGGCCATTTGGAATATCAGACATAGGGGAGTACGTACGTAAAAAGTATCATTCCATTGGCAAAGCACAGAGGTATTCAGCAGAATCAGAAGGAGGACCCTCTTTCTCACATCACACATACCTATGTATATGCAAAATGTGTGGTGGGTCAGTGTCAAGGGCCAGAAACTGACTAGGCTTGAGAGCAAATAGTTGTATCTTACTATTACAATGGTTTCTCTGTGACTTTTCATCTTATTTGATTCTACTTTCTTATGTAGGCCTTTTAGACCAGTGGTGGACAGAGTTCATGATCCTTGTCAGATCAACTTGGTATTCTGTTTGAATTCTGCCATCAAGACCTAAGTGTAACAGATAATAATAATAATTGTGTGTGGTCAAGTCAATTCTGACATGGTGACCCTTTTCAGGTTCTTCTAGGCAGTAGTTTTCTATCCACACAATAGTAGTTTATCATTCCCTTCTTCTGAGTGCGTGCTGGGACTGTGCAGCATGTCCAAAGCTATGCAGCTGGCTCTTCTCCTAGGATGCACAGTGGAGATTGAATCCCCAATCCATGGCTCTGCAGCCAGTGGCTCCACAACAGTTTAGAACAAAAGCACATGCTGGATCTTAGGAATTAATTTATTTTATGTATTTTCAGTAGCAAAAATGGATTGGAAGTACTTTTCAGGCCTCTTCATTTCAGCTGGCTCATATTGTTGTAAGGTAAAAGTAAAGGTTCCCCTTGAGATTTAGGCCAGTTGGGTCTGACTCTAGGGTGTGGCGCTCATCCCCGTCTCCAAGCCGTAGAGCCAGTGTTTGTCTGTAGACAGTTTCCGTGGTCACATGGCCAGTGCAACTAGACACGGAATGCCATTACCTTCCCACCAAGGTGGTACCTATTTAAGTACTCACGTTTTTACATGCCTTCGAACTGCTAGGTTGGCAGGAGCTGGGACAAGCAATGGAAACTCACTCTGTTGCATGGATTTGATCTTACAGCTGCTGGTCTTCTGACTTTGCAGCACAGAGGCTTCTGCAGTTTAACCTGCAGCACCACTACATTCCACTTTTTGTTGCAGCTATGATTAAATGTGTGGGAGTAAAATCCTAGTCAATATACTGTTAATTGCCCAAATATGTACCATTAGATTTTCCAGTCTGCCTTCTTTCCACTCCTGTTCTCAGCTGTCACTGTCCAGTTTTAGTACAGTACATGTGACCGTTCAGTTTGGCTGACCTGGAACACAGTTTTCATTGGACCATAGTAATGGAAAAACAAAGGACTTCATCACTAGCCATTTTCCCTTACAGAAGGGGAATAAATGCTGTTGCAGTCTTTGAGTTAATAATGGCAAACCCAAATCTCCTCTGGTCCATATTATTATTCATTTATATGAGAGACAATGTGTGTTGACATATTTAGTTATGACAAAGGCAGCCTCTGAACATACAGAGCAAAAAAAAAGTATGTCACAAATACTCATGGAAACACATACAAGTTGAAGACAAGTGCCTCACACAGCAAGGGGAATCTGCTATTGTGGAACACTGACAGGGCATCACGAAAACTCTGCTCTGCTCTTCTCTCTGTTATGCTGCTGTTGACTCTGATCATTGTCTCTCTCCACACTTGCCATGATAAACTTCACAAATTGACTATACTGTGTTGCACATGGATTGACTACTAGATGGGCAACCTGGAAAGCTAGCCTGTGGAATTGTCAAATTCCATATTGGCAATGCATTCTTTGCACAGTAGCTTTACATTATGCTAGAATAGAAGTACTCATTTTCAGGTTCTACAGCACTGACTGACAAATCATATGACAGGTATAATTGTAGGCAGAAACAAAAGAAACAGTCTTTAACATACCACAACATTTTTATCTTTTTTATTTATTTATTTATTTTAATTTTTGCCTGATATGCTAGTACAGATTAACATGGCTACCTCTTCTAAAGGTATAATTTTTAGACTAATAAAAATAAATCACATGTTTTGTATTTGCATTAGAATTCACATTCATATGTCATATTTTCATGGAAGCCAGTTGCCATAATGTTCCATCATACATTTAATATGTTTCTAAGTATGTGTAAGAAAAAGGCTGCTGAGACAGATCTGAGAATGCAGGCTTTGAGATGATTGGTTGCCTTGGTTGTCTGCATTTGAAGTAATTCGAGACTGGTCTTGAAATGCCATGTTTACTCCTCAGCAATTTGTGTATAATGAAGTTAATTTTTGTATTCTGTAATTAAGACAATAGGGCTCTTTACTATATTGCAAGGTAAATCTTAACCATATCTTTCATTTGCTTTCCCAACAGTGTTCAGCATAGACTGTAGTACAGTGGAATGCCCTCCTGTCCAACAAGTTGTTTGTCCTTTGGATAGCTATGAAACTCAAGTCAGGCTGACAGCTGATGGATGCTGTACTCTTCCTACAAGGTTTGTCATGTATTTGATAATAGAGTACGAGTCATGACATTTAGGTTTTCTCCTTACAAAGCTGTTAGTGATAGAATGGTTAGAAACAGCTAACTTATTGATTGTTGAACATAGCTATCTCAGTTAATTTTAAAGGGAAGTACTTTTTCTCAGCTAAATTTGGAATTTAGCCTAGGAATACCATCCCAACAGAAATTTGGCTGGCACCCTTGCTGGGTGTTTTTAAAAGCCAGTTAAAAACTTGGCTATTCAAGCAGGCCTTCCCTCCAGTCAACTAAATCTTTATTTTTTCCTTTTTATGCTATTCCATCTTGGTAATCTATTCTTTAAATTAACTGTTCAAACTAAAATTGTAATCGAAATTTTTATGATTTTATTTATTTTTATACAGTGCTGTTTTATTTTGTAAGCCGCCCCAAGTAGACATGGTCTAGAGGAGGTAAAAAT